TCTTATGATAGTTTTCTACACAGAAATTATCACTCAGAAATTATAAGATCATTAAAGATAAATCTAGCATTAATCGTCCTTTTTATATTTATCAATATGTATATGCATTGGCTTCTTTTAAAATCCTCTCATTTTAGAACACATGTTGCTACAGTTAGGCCTACATGTAGGCCTTCATGATAAAAGTCAAAATACAATTCAATACCCGGTACCAAAATAAAAAGTATGTTGACTAATTAGAGTACACATGATCAGGAAATGGCTAGAGCACCGTGGAGTGCATCAGGGACTGGGAAACTAGAAAGAAACTAAAGAGACAAGATCTGAGCTCTGAGAGTGCTTGTTCCTATAGAGGTATAGAGTCATGCAGGGAATGGAGGGAGGGAGTTAGGAAAGAAACAGAAGAAGGAAGGGAGGGAGGGAAGGGCGGAGGGGAAAAGAAAAGAAAAATCATAAAATAAGAGGTATTAATGAATCAACAAAATGTAAAGGAATGTACATTATAGTTTACATTGTAATTTTCTTAAGGAAATAACATGTAATTTGAATTCATGATGCTCAAAAGATGCCAAAGCAAAAAAGGAAAAAGAGAAGAAAACCACTAAAAGCTAATTTTTTTTTTTAAATATTTATTTATTTATTTCGTGTGTGTGGTCAGCTCAGCCCACTAGGGGGCAGGGCTGGCTGGCATGTGGTGCTGGGGGATTGAACCGCGGTCCCTGTGCTTTGTTAAGCTTAGTTTGTTCTAAGTAGGTGCCTTAGACCACTGAGCCATCTCACCAGCCCTAAAAGCTAATTTTCACAAACTAATTTCCATATTGAAAGGAAAAATAAGAACATTGCTGGAATTGTGGCAGACTACTTAGCACATGCAAACACACACACACAAAAATGCACATTTTGTATTCATTGCTATTACTGGTTTGAAATAAATTTTTGATCAGGTTTTCATGCCTGTATCTGGTAATCTGAACAACTATTTTGAAGATCACATTATACAATATAAAAACCATTGTTGATTTCCTTTCATCTTCTTTTGAAATGCTGAATCATTTTTAATGTTTTTATTTGTTATTCTCTTTAAAATAAAAAATCCAGAGAAATATACATTAAATCTCAAGTATAATGTATCCTGTGTCCCACGTGTTAGTGAGGTGAAGGTAGTCTTTGTATCACAGTATCTTTTCTGTTTTAACTTGTTTTTATTGAAGTTTGATGAAGCCACATAAAGAAGATGGGTGCCTATAGAGCTGAAAATGTACAGACTAATATGCTTAATCTGCTTCACATACCCAGTAGATACGAATTTATATAACCATGTAATAATAGGCCATTCAGATTTTTAAATACTGATCGATTGGACCTATATATCTGCAAAGGAAAGCTATGTATCTCAATTGAGACAGCTTTAAAAACTGTTTTAAATTTCAAAAGCAAGTTGCAGAGTTATGTGTATAATGTATTACTGTATGCAAAGTTTTAAGCCATGTAGCAATACAAATATGACTTACAGGGCCGGCCAGATAGCTCAGTGGACGAAAGCGCCTGCTTAGGCAGATGCAGCGGCCAGGGTTCTATCCCCTGCATACTGTACCGGGACACACTGAAAGGGCGATTGAGACTAGGCATGGTAACGCACACCTGTAATTGCTTCGCTTAGGAGGCTGAAAACAGGAGAATCATTATGAGTCTGATCTACATAGTGAGACCCTGTAGACCCTGTACTAAATACATAAGAAAGCCAGATATGACTTACATGTACATATACAGGAAATAAACCTATAAAGATATGGTTGGAGGATACAAGCCAGAATCATGATGATGGTTGATTTTGGGAAAAGGGAGAGGAATAGGTCTGGAAAGGAAAATGACATGGGGCTTGGGGATAGTATTTAATTTCATGTATACTTTTTTCTGAGTTTTTTATTGAAAGAAAAAGCAGAAAGGATAAACTAATTTAGAATAGTTTGTTTTTTGGGTTGTTTTTTTTTTTTTTTTTTTTTTTTTGGTGGAACCAGGGATTGAACTCAGGTCCTTGCACTTGCCAGGGAAGCGCTTATTCCACTGAGCCATCTCCCTGGCCCACTAATTTAGAATAGTAACACATTAATTATATTAAACTCACTATTATGTATTCTTTAAAACTTCTATATGCTTCAGAGGGGCCAGGGAGATGGCTCAGTAGAATAAGCACTTCCCTGGCAAGCGCAAGGGCCTGAGTTCAATCCCCAGTTCCACAAAAAAAAAAAAAAATACTTGAGAGAAAGTTAATATTTGTAGTGGTCATTTCTGCAGTGACATTACAATTCAATTTTACTTTCATCTTCAAGCTTATTAGTACCAGCCATTACATTAAATTTTGGATAAATGGAAATTTCCATTTAATGTAACATGACTTCTCTGTTCAGGCTGCTATTACAAAATACTGTAAACTAGGTGGCTTATAGATATCAGAAATCTGTATCTCACAGTGCTGGAGGCTGAAAGTCCAAAATCATGGAACCAGCAAATGTATTACCTAGTGAGAGTTAATTTTGTAGACCACATATAACATGTCTCTTCACTATAACATTACATAATGTAAGAGGTCCCTTTCAATAACCGCACCCCTTTTATTCAGTACTGGGGATTGAACCCAGGGCTTTTGCACTGAGCTGCATCCCCTCAGTTTTTTTTTTAATTTCTTCCTTAAGATAGGATCTTACTAAGTAAATCCCTTCTTCAAGGGCACTACTTCAGTCATGACGGATGCATCCCTGTAATTACCTTCCACAGACCTGCTAATACCTCTATCCAAGCACTCAGAATTCACCTTAGGAATTCTGAGAAGACTAAACATTCACACTGTAGCAGTTACCATAGTTGTACTCCTAGTACCTTGTACAGTGACTAACATATAGTTACTGCTCTGAAAGTGTGGAGTGGAATGTGGGTAACAAACACAGGAATGATATAAACCATGGTCAAAGGTACAGTGAATGGAAGACAAATAGAATGTTGACTCTGTAAGTTGGTTGTTCTGTGACAAGCACAGCACAGTGAAGTGGACCCGATGATGCAGATCGCCAGGGTGAGACTCATCGGGAGTGTTACTGTTTGATACTTTTCTTTATACTTTGAATCCCCCCCCACCTAAATTTTTGCTGCTTTTTCAGTTGCCTGCAGTGTTTATTCTACACCCATAACACAGTTCCTGGTTTTCATGTAAATGAGAATATGCTTTATTAAAATAGCCTTAATCTGTCTTGGAGGCAAGGCTACAAACCAGGCATATGCTTGGATACTTGATGACCTTCACTATAAGATAATCTCCTGTTTTTCAAATAAAAAGTTCCAAAAAAGGTTTCAGGCCACTTAAATATAGACTTTTAGCAGTGTAGGTTAAGAAGTGTGTGTATGTTTTGTACTGATTAATTTATTTATACAGGTATATTTAGGACACATATAAGAAATACATCAATTTTTCATTAATATTTGAAGAAACCAGTGTTAGGGATATTATATGAATCTTAAGTCATTTATACTGTTTTCCACTTAATGGCATATCATATTTACTTCTATTTTAGTTAAGGTATAGCTATTTTTTATTCTGGATGATGCTCACTAGAAATTATCACAAACCACAGGGGCTTGTCTCATAATACAAGGGTTATTTTTGACTCATTCTTTAGTGTAGTTTTGAGTCCAATAGTGTGATTCTGTAGTAGATGTCAAATTGATCATTCAAAAGCTTGTTTACAACAGTAAATTATAGGGGCCGGGGAGATGGCTCAGTAGAATAAGCACTTGCCTGGCAAGCACAAGGACCTGAGTTCAATCCCCAGTTCTGCAAAAAAAAAAAAAAAAAAAAAAAAAAAAAAAACAATAAATGAGAGCACCAACCGTGACATCATATTTTCCATGATATTAAATAGCAAGTCTTTTTAAAGTTTTCCTGTCTTTTTTTTAACAGCTCCATTAAGATAACTTCTATTATCCCACCCTAGCACCACTGTGTCAGGCTAGTGTGTCTTCTCCACTTTGTGATTAAAGGAATTAAGAAAATAATCTGCAATACAGGAGAGTTTGTAAAACTTTTGAGTCTGAAGTAACTCCCACTCTTACATTGAGTAGCACTGAGCAAAAACCATCTTATATGGCAATTTACTACAAATTTATTTCCTACAACTTCTTATTTAAAAAAAAAAGCAAGGAAAAACTGTACCTTCTTTAGGCCAATATAATGATTAGGAATGAAAACTGAATTATCGGTGTATGTATATTGTCATGATCATGATTAACATGTGATTGGATTAACAGTTTTCTACTTCACAAGTGCAAACATCGTATTGTCTCCTTAGTGTGAGAACCTGAAAGACAAAATGGAATCGGAAGATTACAGTAGATACTGGGAAAAGGGAATGAACTTACTCAAAAGGAAACAGTTACTGAGTTGAGGACAGGAGAGGGAGTAGGGGAAAGAGATATATCTATGCATGTAAGCAGGATAGTTTGGACAATTGTACCGTAGATTTCTACTGGTCTATGGAAAGGAGCAGATAATGCTTAATTTGTTTTTGTCTCCTTTTTTCAATTGTTTCTCCTTTTTCTCTTAATTTCCTATCCATTTCTTTTATTCTTTCATCCAATTTTGCATGCATATACCTCATAATATGAATAGCTTGCTGGAAGATAACACTACACATTACAACAAATACTGTGCAATTCATATTACCTTGTTATGTGAAATTCTTTATCACTTATAATTTTGCTGTTTAAATACTATTTTGTACTTTTTAAAAAATACATTTTTTTAAAAATTTTCATGGGGCTAACATCAAGTAAATTGGTTTGAGTAGAGTAACTAGTTTGGAAAAAAAACAAATTCAGTTTTGCATGTGATTTTGATGGTAGAAGACATCAGTGTGATCGGGTACACTTGTATTATTCTATGTTAAAGTCATGAAGCTTCTTAGTTTGCAACATTAAATATATTATTTACGTATTTACATATGTTTCAGGGTGTTATTGGAATTTTGAAGTCATGAAAACATCAAATAAACCAACCTGCAATACCTTCGATTCAGATTGGAAGATAAAGAGAAAGTTTAAAGAATGTGGCCTATGAAGGCAGGTAGTACCTGGAAATATTAACTGACAAACTGTAAAAATGAGACCAGTTTCTAAGCAGTGGAGGTTATTTTTGTCCAACGTCAAGATTCAAGACAAAATGTACAACTAAAAACTCTATAATCCTCCCTCCCTGTTTGAGACAGGTACTAACATTGGTGAATTATGATTTTACTTAGTTGGAATCACTCATTTTTACACATATAGACCATCACCAGGAATTAAATGTTGGTTATTTAATATAAATTATGGTGGGAAACTGATATTTTCGTCATGGCAGATTTCAAGGACTTGGTTTCAAACTGAGCCATAGCTTCCCAATGCATTCTGTACAGTCTGGGAAAAACTGTGCTGCACTGGCCCATTGGTAAAGGCCATCATGCTGTGTAATATGAGGATATCATCTTATTGCTGATATCTTTGGAGAGTCCCAAGCAGACACAGAAAATGAATGGAGGCAAGGAGTGTGACGGAGGGGAGAAGGAAGGAGGTCTTCCAGCTATCCAAGTTCCTGTGGGTTGGCAGCGGCGTGTGGATCAAAATGGAGTTCTTTATATCAGGTGAGCTCATTCATTCCTGTGTGACCTCCCAAGTTGAAATTCCAAGATTAAAAAGGGTAGAGTCTGTTCTTTGAGAGAACAAAATATTGTGACTGACAGCACTTCAGATATATTTGAATAAATGACTTCTGTGCTAGAAACACAAATATTTTCATTCAGCAGTGTTTTACAATGTGAATTGCCTTAGAATACCAGGGAGAAGTAAGCATTATCACCTCATTCACAGAAAAATGTAAAATTCTGTGTATAAACCTTTGGCAATAATACTGCGTCTTTCAGAGACTCCAGCTAGCTTTTCTGATTCTAAGATAATGTTTTCATCTATAGGCAGTTTTAATTAGCAGACTTTTTAATGGCTGATATTAGCTTTAAAAAAATGGTTCCTTTATTTTTGTGCATTTTTTCGTCTGTTTCCTTGCATGATGTATTAATTGGAGTGAAGAGATAAGAAATCTAGAAATGTAGGATCATCCCATAATGGATAAAACCGGGAAGGACACTTGGGAGAACTTTTTCAGAGTGCTTCTATTACCAGTATGGTTAATAAACAGCCAGAAATGCTGGTATAAATAAAGTACCACAAGATATTAGAAATATATGTTTTTATATTTATGATTGTTCTAGTTTTAAATTGAAATCATTCAGCTGGGAGCAAATGACTCTAAATTCTTTGTACATTTTTTTTTTAACCTCATCTCTATTCTTAGAAAAAGATAAATCAGCTTTTCATATGGCTATAAACAAACAAGTTAAGCCTGGGAATTAAAAACCAACTTCAAGTCTAAGATTCTGTCAGTGATATTGTTCATAATTTCCCAAGTCTGACAAACTACTGCTATCTGATAATCCTATTAGTATGGATTCTCAAAATCCAAATCTGTACACAGAGAATTATTATGGAAACTAACTTTTCCAGATAAGATAAAATGCTTCTAAATTAAATCATGCCAGCATGGATTTGATTTATTTGTATATCACTAATTAAATTACTACTTGAACATATGTGGGAAACCAGCCTGTTTTCTGTACCTCTCTTCTCAGTGTGTAGTTTGTGATTTTTAGGTTGGTCTCCAGCTGCCTCTACCTCATGATGTTGTTGAAACTGTACTTTACATTTTCTTCCTGCTTCCAGTCTTTTAAGCTTTTTCTGTGCTGTAAGACTTATAACTGGTTTTGTAGTAATTATGACTCTCAGCTAATTAAAGAGCAACAGCTAACCAAAACCGCTCAAATGATTAAGAAGAAATGTTTGTAAAGTATAAGGGTACAGTAGTAGAAATGAGGGATTCTTGCTTTCAGATTTAATTTTAAGGTTAAATTCCTTCACATTCAGTGTATGTATTTTAAGTAAAATGTTTACTTAAACTGTTTTACATTTTAAGTAAAATGTAAAGTAACCTACCACTGCAGGTATTATTGGAGCTGTGCCTTTTACCAAATTCTTTAATTCTTCATGTGATAATCTAGTAAGGTGCTTTTTGATAATTACCAAAAAAAAAAAAAAAAAAAAAAAGACCTACAAAATACCTCTCCTACTGTGGCAGAACTCCAGTTTGTAACATGGAAATTATTATTCTCTGCATATCCTCTATAAAACATAGCCCAGATACATACTTTAACCTAAAGACTTCCCTTAAAATTTTTCTTTATGCCCAAGTTTCTTGTATGAATGTCCACAAAAGAAAATACGAACTGCCTTTTAAAGCTGGGTTCATTTGTAGGTACCTATGTTTTTATAGAAGCAGATTGGTTATGTCTGACAGTACAAAGCTTTGTGTATGGTATGGAAAGTATGATTGTTTCTGTATAATTCTGATCGGTTGTATGCTTATGTACAACTTCTGCTAAGTAGTTATAAAAGACATTCTCAAAAGAAAAGTATATGAAGTTTCAAAGCATAATATGCACATTGAAGTTTTTATATCAATATATTAATAATAAACAAATTACTTGTTTTAAATTAAATCCCATTGTAAATAAAAGTCAAACTCACCTGTTCCTCAGATATTATACCAAAATCTGTAGACATGAAATTGATTGGGGCCAGGGAGATGGCTCAGCAGAATAAGTGCTTCCCTGGCAAGCACAAGGGCCTGAGCTCAATCCCCAGCTCCGCCAGGAAAAAAAAAAAAAAAAAAAAGGGCCAGGGAGATGGCTCAGTGGAATAAGCGCTTCCCTGGCAAGCACACAGGCCTGAGTTCAATCCCTGGTTCCGCAAAAAAAAAAAAAAAAAGAAAAAAGAAAGAAATTGATTGACATTCTCATATTCTACTGATTCTTGTGACAAGAAGAGCAGTAAGGCACCTGCCTAGTTACCATCCAAGCGAACTACAAGATACCTTTTGGCCAACCAACGGCCCATTTCCTCTGCACTTTCCCACCTTTCGTCAGTTCTGTTTGCTTCTTTCCTTCCAAGGAAGGTTTGGCTTTTAGTAAAATTGTACTTGGGTCATGCTGATCTGTCTTCAAAGAAACACACCAGTGTGGGGGAGAAAGAAACCTGTTATTTACATATGGACAACTTCATTTTAGACTACAAGATAAACAAGGAGAGTTTGTTAGGTCCAAACTTCTCAACAGAACCATAATATGTTCCTCAATTTCAGCTTTTCCTCAAAGAGCTTTAAAAGTAAATTTTTGAAGTCATTTTAAAGTTTAAAATGATGATGATCACTTTTAGCATATTTTTGTTTCTTGCCTATTTCTGTCCTTTTTTAGGAATAGTATTTTACCATCTTTAGTCCACTCTTGGCTTTAAAAATACTGTTGTATGATTTTCTGTGAAGATCTATATTTTTCTTTAAAAATATTTTGGTTCAAAGCAAAGCATGACAGTGTTAAAGGCTGTCATTTAGTAGCTAACATAATATTGATAAAATGCTTTTTACTAGTGGGAAAATAATATCCTCTGGAGGATGGTAAGACTATAAATTATGCATTTTTTCATACCTATATGCAGTCAAAATTATTTCCTGATTTTTTTTAAACTATTTTTACAGTCCCAGTGGGTCTTTGTTATCTTGCTTGGAGCAAGTTAAAACATACCTGCTTACTGATGGAACATGCAAGTGCGGCTTGGAGTGTCCTCTTGTTCTTCCCAAGGTAACCATTTCACAGTGGAATAGCAGCAGGCTGTTATTTTTAAATGTTAAGATATTTTATATATTGTATTTTGTCATTTGATATTTCATTTTAGTTCTCCAATCATATATTCATTTTGATATCTTTTTACATGCATTTTGGAATACTTAAAAGACTGAGGAGTAATTCAAGATGACAAACCTGTATTCATATTACTACAGGTATTATTGGAGCTGTGCCTGTTGTACTACTTTGTACTGTAATATTTTATTTCATTGCTGTAACTCTTCAAATCAGTAGTGTTACCATTAGCATGAGTGCTGATAAATCTATCAGGGATACAGTATTCCTAAAATCATAAAGCTAAACATTCATATCAAAAATACAGAGTTGTTTTATTCATTTATAAGGTACCAAGTGAAATCATGTATAGTGATAAAATATAACTATAATATAGCTATAGAAATAGGTCGCTAGTCTCTGAATATGTGTTATAATGCTGATTTTAAAACTAAATATTAAAATAAACAACTTTTCCCCTTTTCCCTTTGTGTGTCTCTACATCCTAAAATATTTATATAAGTAATATCTTTTAAAAAGATTAAGAGGTTTTTTAAATTAATGAAGATATTAATATAGAAATAAAAGAGAATCAAAGAAAAAGCATGTAGAAATGTCATAACTTTTCTTTCGTTTCTGTAATTGTACTTCATCTTTTTGTACTGTTACAACATGAAAAAGTATTGATAATTGGAAACTATCAGATATGCCCCTCTCCATGTGTGTATTTTGGCTATTTTAAAAACCATGAGTTCAGCTGTATCTACTAAGTTCTATAAAGTTTCTTTCTTTGATTTCATGGCTCAGTTTTTCTGTTTGTTGCTTTTTTGTTGTTGGTTTTTGAGACAGGATCTTGGTTATGGTCAAGGGCTCTGGCTGGTCTTGTGGGAATCCTTCTGCCTCAGCCTCCTGAGTGGCAGGATAATGTGCTTGGCTGCCTTTCCTTAAATTTAAATTTCCAAAGCCTTGAGAAAATAGTATTTATTATAGTTTAATCTATGGTTTAATTGAACTTCTTTTCTTTCTAAACAAGAGCATCTTTTTATTAAATGTTGTCACAGACATATTCTAAGTGAAGGCTATGCTTTTTCCAGGTATTTAATTTTGATCCTGGAGCAGCTGTGAAGCAGAGAACAGCAGAAGATGTCAAGGCAGATGAAGATGTCACAAAACTATGCATACATAAAAGAAAAATCATCGCAGTGGCCACACTTCATAAAAGCATGGAAGCCCCACATCCTTCTCTGGTGCTCACCAGTCCCGGAGGAGGAACAAGTATGTAACATGGCTAAGGCTTAGGAATTCCCCCACTTCTAAGAGGAGCAGCTACTGGAATTCACTTAGCTAATTGTTTCCCCATTGTACTTTCCAAATGTACACAATACTTTTAAGATTTTACGTAACCTGTCATTTTATAACAAGTTGCAGATTAATTCTATAAAATTCCCATGAGGTTATTGCCCAGAATTTCAAACTCAAATCATCTAGTTATACAATCAGAATAAAGATTAGCACATACAATGCTGTTCACACATGTGGAACTTAGAAAAGAAACAGTGCCACTAGCTTTTAGAAAAAAAATGTAGCAGTCTTCCTACAGCTATATTGAAATTATCAGTCCCCCAAACGTAACTTAGGAGTGTTAAGAATTAGCAGGGTTAATCTCATTCATGTAATAACTGTGTTGAACACCTACTAGAAATCTTTCCAAGAACTTTACATGTTTATACACATGCACACACACACACACACACACACACACACACACACACACACACAGATTTCTTTTAATAAAATTTCAAAGCAGCAGGAAAAGTACAGGGATGGTTCACTAATATACATATACGGTTCATTCTGATTCACCATTAACATTTTGCTACAGAAAGTAGCTGATATTTTCAGAATTCACCCTTAAATACTTCAGTACACAAGGACATTCTCCTGAGGAACCACAGTCTAATGATCACATTAGGAAATTTAACAGTGACATAATACTATTCTCTAATATATACTGTATATTTGATCTTCCATTTGTCACAATGTCTCTTCCAATTTATTTAAAAATTCAGTTTTTTGTAAATCCATGATGCAAAGATTGTGTACTGCAGTTAGCTATCACATTTAATTTACATCAATTCCTCAGTTTTTTCAGTTTTTCATGACATTTAGCTTTTTGAACAGTTCAGACCAACTTTCCAGAATGTTCCTTAATCTGAATTTGCCTAATTGGTTCCTCACAGTTGTTAGGATAAACACATTTTGGTCAGCATTTTCATAAGTGGTACAATATCCTCTTTAGAATTTTTTCATTGTTAAGGTACCTAACAAAATACCCTTTTTTGGTTAATATATACTTTTAACTTACTTATAACTTCTTTTGGTGAGGGTCTAGAATATGAGTGCTCTCCATGATATTATAATCTCATACTTTAACAATAATTCAGAATAAAATGTGGCTGAGCACCTAAGTATTTATTGATAAAGAACAGTCCATACTGTTCATATTTGCAGAGTTCAGAAAACTGGGGCTCATGAGTGGCGTCTGCAAAGCCTGCTGAGAGGCTTTATGGCAGGACTCAAGCTTGGAACAGCCATGGAAATAATAGACTTTAAATATATGAGAAGGATGGGAAAAGTATTTCTCAAAATGAGTGTAGTATAATTAAGGAATAATGTGGAAGCTTGAGTGGAAGGGTAAAAGGTGTAAGTACATTGTGTTCAGACGATCAAGAGTATTTAGATGCAGGATAGTTCAGCAGACTAAGCACCTGCTTAGGCAAGCTCAGGGACCTGGGTTCAATCCCTGACACCACAGGCTGTGCCGGCCCCACCCCCATGCACACTAAGCCAGCCAGTAAGACTGGGCGTGGTGGCATGTGCCTGTAATCCCAGCACTGGGGAGGCTGAGGACAGAAGGATCACTGTAAGTCCAAGCTGCATGGTGAGACCCTGTACCAAATACATTTAAAAAAGAAAAAGTATTTAGATGCAAAGAATAGATTCTACATGATGCAGATAATTAAAGATGTTTAGAACTCATGCAAACAAGAGTACAGAGAGAAATTTGGCAGTTGTTAGCACAGAAACTTCTAACGAGACAGTTTTTTGTTTTTTGTTTTTAATTAAAAAAACAAGTACAACAGCCAGGCATAATCCTGTGCACATTTGTGATCCTAGCACTCAGCAGGCTGGGGCAGAAAGATTACCATAAGTTTGAGGCCAGGCTGGGCTTCATAGTGAAATCCATCCTGCCTCCTAAAAAATATACTTGTAACGATTTAAAGATATATTTGATAGTAATAAATTATTTAAACTCCACACAACCCTGGCACCAAGCCTAGCGATATTTTACCTTGTGCACATTACTGTATACGTGTGTTTGTCCTTCTGTCTGCTACTGATCTCATATCACATTTGATCAGAATTTTACACATTTCTGTAAAGTTTACTTTTTTTATTTTATTGAGAAACAAATAGCAATGAGACAGTTTCAAAAGCAATTAGTAAGACCGTTTCAGTAATTAATACATTGCATATTTTTGTCTTCGTAATGGTTATTCATAGTACAAGATGCAGACATGCTATCCTGTCCAATCACTATTACTACAAATCTTTCTTCTCATTAAATTAAGAGAAAGTAGCTGTATATCTATCCTGTTTTGTATATACAGATACAAAATGGTCCTTCATTTGTATCCCCTTTAAAGTTTCTTTTGTTGTCTTTCTAAACACCCTCACAGGATCTTGACCTGGATTTTTTTTTATCACACCTCTACATAAAATTTAGTTGTTGAAATTATTTTATCTTGTACTTTTTTTTTAAAGCAGGATCTTGCTAAGCTGCTTGGGCAGGACTCAGGCTTGTGGTTCTCCTGCTGCAGCCTCCCGGAGCATGGGACTTACAAGCATGCACCACCATGCCGGGCGAAAGATAAATGTTAACTGTTACAGGCAGTACGGGGCCCAGCTCCATCCCTTTTTAAATAATGTATTTTGTTGTCAACTGCCACTGTTTTTCTGTCTTCAGACATAACATTTGCTCCCTAACTTTACACTGTTATCCTAAAGTGATGGTTTAAATAATTAACAATTCAAAAGACTCACCTACTTTTCACCCCTTATGTAAATATATAGACATTTATTTTGTTTTGATTTATTCTTTGAAAGGTTTTCTTGAATGTACATTCAAGTACCTGATTGATACATAGCATGTGCACTTGTCACTTAAGTGCTTTTGGTTCTTGTCACTGTAACATTGCCCTGACCTTTGTTTGTTGATTACTTAACTCCTGTTGTTTTAAATATGACTATTTTTCCCAGGCATGGAAGAAATCCTTTCTAAATCACAGTTATTATCTAAAATCTGTTAGTTGAATATACAAATGACACTGTCTATGTTTTTAATCACTGCACTGCAGATAATTATATAAACACATTAATATCTAAGAAAAGGTGCAATGAGGTGACTTTTTTATTAAACAACCAGTCCTATAATAATGTTAGTGATAATACTACATATGATATTCTCACTGTATGCCAAATACAATGCCCCACATATGTTTAATACATTACTTTCTAAACTACAAACTTTAAAAATCTCTCTAACAAAAAGTTAAACTTCAGTTGAATTTATCTACTGTTTTTATTGTTGCTAGCATTTCATATATTGTATCCCAAAATAACTCTATCAAAGAACTTCTATGATGCTAGAATCAGAAAGTTCATATTTCCCAAGAAAAACTTATTCACTGTTTTCCCTTACTCTACTGCAGTGCACCCTACCTAAACTTCTGTGTGCCTTAGGTTGTAAGTGGTACTCCTAGAAATTATTTCATTTGACCTGTACACTATCTAGAAAGTAAAAACATGTCTGAAATATATAATTCTTCTTTTAAGGAAGTAAACCCGTGATTGGAAGTAAAGAATGCCTACTAACATGCTTTGAGTCTCCAAGCAGGGCAGGCAGACACGTATGAATAGCATCACTTTCATCTCCTGTGCCCTAGTGGACTCGGTGGCATTTTCTCATGGAGCCCAGCTAGAGCTTAGCATCCTTTTCAACACAGCACTCTAAGGGGCCACCACAAATTGATGGAATTGGCATAAGAAACAAGTTTTATTTGCCATCTCTGATTTAGAAGGCACAACTTCATAAAATAGTTAAGGATCCTTTGGGGCTAAAAACTTAATCCTAGAATTCTGACATGATAGAGTGAAAATTCTGTGTGATGAACCAGCTTGCTTTTGTTGCCTGTATTCTGTCTGATCTCCAAAAGAACTGAAGGGACTCCACAAGTCAGCGCAGGAGAAATGCATTCATGTAAAAAGAGAATACTCAATGGGAAACCAGTACTGACGGTTTAGCACTCTGACTAAATTTTACATGAGAATTCTAGCCTAATAAAAGAACTGAAATTTTTTACCTAAGTTGGTTGATGACTAAAAGCTGTTTTTACAATAATCACTAATTAAGAGCAAAGAACTTATAGAACTACAGTGTTGTAAACATGATGTGAAACTAAACATGATTGCCGTATCATTGACTGATACTTGTCATTATTCTCATTTAAAAGACTTGGAATCCCATCCACTTAGTTCCCAAAAATTCAGCTTTAATCTCCCAATGAAAATGTTGGGATAAAAGTATATTGCTATAGCTACCTTTAGATGGTTTCAATAGAGTAACAAACATTTATAGGGTAACAAAATTTCTTGTGGAAATGGAAATTCATTTAAACCACAGAAGAAACTATTAGGCCACACAAATTACAATATTCGTTTATAACTATATGTTCTCAAAAATCTCAAGTCCAGTAAGATAATAATGTCTCCATTTCACATGGGGGCTGGCAGTGTTTATTTTGCATATTATAAATATCGTTAGAATGACCAGTGTCATCATGAATGGAGTTAGTTGCCCGAGTACTCTCAATATGTAGGAAGTGAAAAGATTACATATGCTTTAATTCAAAGGTTAACATAGCTTGGAGAGCATTTTTAAACTACATAGAGTCATAATTTTATTTGCAGATTTGTATTCCAGATGCTCTTCTTTCTTCTCCCTTCCTGATTTCCTCCTCTTCATCCCTCCCTGCCAGAACCAAAGAACTGAGACTACTGACAGAATTCTCTTTCTCTTTCACTCAGATGCAACTCCAGTAGTACCTTCACGGGCAGCAACTCCAAGATCAGTAAGAAATAAGTCTCATGAAGGAATTACAAATTCTGTAATGCCTGAATGTAAGAATCCTTTCAAGTTAATGATTGGATCATCCAATGCTATGGGGAGATTGTATGTACAAGAACTGCCTGGAAGCCAGCAACAAGAACTCCACCCTGTCTATCCCCGGCAGAGATTGGGCAGCAGCGAACATGGACAGAAATCTCCATTCCGTGGCAGCCATGGAGGCCTGCCCAGCCCAGCATCATCAGGTTCCCAGATTTATGGAGATGGCTCAATCTCTCCAAGGACTGACCCACTTGGAAGCCCAGATGTTTTCACAAGAAATAATTCTGGTTTTCATGGAGCTCCCAGTTCTAGTCCTATTCACCTGAATAGGACTCCTCTTTCTCCACCTTCAGTAATGCTTCATGGTTCTCCTGTACAGTCATCCTGTGCAATGGCTGGAAGGACTAATATACCTCTTTCCCCAACCTTGACTACAAAGAGTCCAGTAATGAAAAAACCAATGTGTAATTTTTCAACTAATATGGAAATGCCACGAGCAGTGTTCCACCACAAAGCACCCCAAGGCCCACCTCCCCCTCCTCCACCTTCTTGTGCTCTTCTGAAAAAGCCATTAACATCTGAGAAAGATCCACTTGGCATTCTTGACCCTATTCCTAGTAAACCAGTGAATCAGAACCCTGTTATCATTAATCCAACCAGTTTCCATTCAAATGTCCACTCTCAGGTACCTGTGATGAATGTAAGCATGCCTCCTGCTGTTGTTCCTTTGCCAAGTAATCTTCCTTTGCCAACTGTAAAGCCTGGTCACATGAATCATGGGAGTCATGTACAAAGAGTTCAACATTCAGCTTCAACCTCCCTTTCCCCTTCTCCAGTGACATCCCCAGTGCACATGATGGGGACTGGAATCGGAAGGATTGAGGCATCGCCCCAAAGATCACGCTCATCTTCCACGTCATCAGATCATGGAAATTTCATGATGCCACCTATAGGACCCCAAGCCACCTGTAGTGGTATTAAGGTTCCACCCAGGTCACCAAGGTCAACAATAGGGTCCCCAAGGCCATCAATGCCATCAAGCCCTTCTACCAAGTCCGATGGACATCATCAGTACAAGGATATCCCTAACCCATTAATTGCTGGAATGAGTAATGTACTAAATACTCCAAGCAGTGCAGCTTTTCCTAGTGCATCTGCCGGAAGTGCTTCTGTAAAGAGTCAGCCTGGTTTGCTGGGAATGCCTTTAAATCAGATCTTGAACCAGCACAATGCTGCCTCCTTTCCAGCAAGTAGTTTACTCTCAGCAGCAGCCAAAGCACAGCTAGCAAATCAAAACAAACTTGCTGGTAACAACAGTAGCAGCAGTAGCAATTCTGGAGCTGTTGCCGGCAGTGGTAACACTGAAGGACATAGCACTTTAAACACCATGTTCCCTCCTACTGCCAACATGCTTCTTCCAACAGGTGAAGGGCAGAGTGGTCGAGCAGCACTAAGAGATAAGTTGATGTCGCAGCAAAAAGACTCATTACGGAAAAGAAAACAGCCACCTACCACAGTGTTGAGTTTGCTCAGACAGTCTCAAATGGATAGTTCTACAGTTTCTAAGCCTGGACCTGACTTGCTAAGGAAGCAGAGTCAGGGCTCATTTCCCATCAGTTCTATGTCTCAGTTACTACAGTCTATGAGCTGTCAAAGCTCTCACTTGAGTAGCAATAGTACCCCAGGTTGTGGGGGCTCAAATACTGCTTTGCCTTGCTCTGCTAACCAGCTGCATTTTGCAGATCCCAATATGAACGCCAGTGTTCTGCAGAATTCACTGACACAGAATATACCTTTAAGAGGGGAAGCCGTGCACTGCCACAATGCAAACACTAACTTTGTTCACAGTAACAGCCCTGTTCCTAACCACCATCTTGCAGGTTTAATAAATCAGATTCAGGCTAGCGGGAACTGTGGGATGCTCAGTCAGTCGGGCATGGCTTTAGGAAATTCATTACATCCCAATCCACCTCAGTCAAGAATTTCAACGTCCTCCACTCCAGTGATACCAAACAGCATTGTTAGCAGCTATAATCAGACAAGTTCTGAAGCAGGTATGGTTTTATTAGAAAAAAGTACCCAAAGGTACTAAATTTTTCTACGCTTTTTTAAAAATTTGTACCAAAATATTTATTATAAGAAATCCTTTCCCCATTTTCTTCATTTCTTTAGTATTTATAATTTTATTTTACAGAATGCTAAAAATTTGTCTTTTGGAAAGAATAACAGCTAAGGGAAGTGTTTCCGTTACTTGTTGTCAATCTGTGTCATTTTGAATATTGTTCAACTTTCATTTAATAACCGTTGGACTGTAAACTGTAACAGAAGCCATAGAAGGCAGGGTTTCCTAGTTATGAGACGTGTCCTTGGTCTATGCCAGTACAAAAGCCGTTTCCTTAGCTTTGTGTGTATTCAGGTAAATGAAACTCACCTTGAAAAAATCCAAAAAGGCAAAGATAAATGGATATTATTTTTCTTGCTGCTGAACAGAAATAGGTTAATGGATAGGAGAAGGTAACTAGAAGTTGTATGAGATAGGAAGCTGTCTTCTAATGTGTTTTCTTATCCTAGTTTGCTATCTTTTTTTATTCTTTGTTTTAGAAAACTCAAAAATGGATATTGGCTACTTCCTTTTTTACAAAAAAGTAATAATTTAAGTTTCCTAATAAAAAAGGCTTGAAAACCTGATTTCTAGAATTTTTTGATCTTGAAAATGTTTTAAATTTTCTTACAGAATTAAACCATTATTTTTGCCATTGACATTAAGGTTTGAACCCAAATTTAATATAAACTGTCATGCACTATTAGTAAAGGAGACAAGTTTGTTTAAAAATAGAAATTAGAAAAAGAACCGTGTGTGATAGAATTCTCCAAAATTGTTACGAAACCTGTACTGAAGCACTACAGACATAAATTCATTGAGAGGTCAGCATATTTGCCTGTGAAAACATTAGAAAAAATTCAAAACCCAACACTAGTGATTGCAGATTTATAAGATATAACAGGGAAAAAGTAAAAGACAACTGTAGAGGCATTATAATTCATATTTGAAAAGAGTGGGCTTAAAAAACAGATTACTACTGGAAATGAGAAAATTCTGGGACCTTAACCAATAAGTTGTCGTGTGGATGATGTATAGACTATATTATAACGCTCTACTGGAAAAGCATGCTGTACATGTCTGTTGCTGTTGTGAAATCAAGTTTGTTTCTTCTAGTTTTGCCATCCTAACGCCTGCTATCCTTCACAACTTGTTATGTGTTATGTTTTGATGTCAGTATTTAATGAAGAATTATCCAATGACCCCTTTATGTTAAAAAGAATATAGGGTTTAAAAGATATGTGAAATGATCAACTTAAGGGTCCTCATGAAACTTCCTTCATACAGGGCCAGAGATATAGCTCAGCAGCGTAAGCACCTGCCTGGCAAGCACAAGGTCATGAGTTCAATTCCAGCTACCACAAAAAAAAAAGAAAAGAAAAACTTTCTTCTTTATGTGTTTAACAGAATAGTTACTCCATAAAGTGCTTCCAGCTTTTCGCTGAATATACCATTTTAGTTTATTTCACACAAATGAAATTTAATCTTATATATTTAAAAGATTGAAGTTACATGAAGTCCATAACTATTTCAAGATATGCCATATTTATTGAGCACATTTTCAATCATTTTGAAGAGACATTTTAGTCTCATTATGGTTTTGATCTTTCTTACCTCAGTTTACTTAATTTCAGGTCTAAAATCATATGTGCAAAGTGTATGTATTTTATTGAGAATGTATTTTAACCCATCTATAGTGCAAAAGACCCAACATTTATTTATATTCTTGTTTCTTCAGAGTGTCAAGTTTCAACTTACTTTATATCATCATGGTCACTTATTTTCTTGTTCCATGTATTTTATAAAACATCTGAACTGGAATGGCAGTGTTGGGGACGTTGAAGCGCATATTAAAAATTCATTAATGTAAGAAATGTATTAGCATATAAATAGCTAAAAGGAACAAGAACAAATGTCTCCTAATGATACAAAAGTGGCTAATCTTGTGTAAGCTTATAACATATGCCTTATAAAAATCTAGGTCAGTAAGAGTTTTTGAAATATTAAACCTAGTAAAAGTTAATGTTAATTAATGTACATAGGTTTGATTACAGCTGGTATGAAAATGGCTTGATTTACCAATTAACATAACTCTTCTGATGAGCTAAATATTAAGGTATTTAATGCTATGTTTTTCTTTGCTGTGTAGCATATTGCATATGAATGTACTGTCATAATTCTCTCACCTAAATATCAATTCCACTGACATGTATTCATTCATCAAATAATCATTGAGGCAAGGCATTCAGAATGACACAACAGATGAGACAGCTATCTCTTGTAAGATTTTTGCTAGATATTCTTAACATATCAGTAAGACACTTAGAAAAAACATTCTTAAAGTGTTGCCTATTCTTATAATTGGTTATCTGTCATGTGCCAAGGGGTTTACCTATGTTATCTACAATCTGCAATTTTCCAGAGTGTAAGGTATTTTTCTTAAGAAGAAACTGAGCCTCAGAAAATTTAGCTGTCAAGGATCATCTGTAACTTGAGTCAGAATCTGAACACAGTTCAGCTGATTCTAAAGCTCATTTTCTTTCAACTGCTTCAATTATTCATCTGAAACATTTAATGTTCAAAAATATTTTTCATTTCAAAATCTTTTAAAATGTTCAATAGATAATTAAAGTACATTAATGCATATTAGAAGCCACATTTGCAAATTCTTGGGGTACTTTTACACAAAAGCACTTATTTTTGCCTTCTCTTGAGACTCTGATTTCATAGCATACAGTGATACAGTGTTTTCTGTCAGTGCACATGAAATGTCCAAAATACCACTAGCACTGCCCCTTACTTGTTCATCACAGGTAGTGATCTTTCTGTTAATGAATTATCACATCACTCTGAAAAGAATGTGTTTTCTAATGGTCCTGTGTGAGTAGACCTTTGAAAGAGGTGACCGCAGAGGCCACTGACGATGTTCCAATCATGGCAAATGGTAAGGGTAAAAGAGACCCACAAGTAACAGAATCCAGCTGCACTCCATGGTGACAGCCTAGACCCAACTCAGGGGACCTGCTCGATTCAGTGCCTTTTTTTACTCTCCTGAAGGCAGTTCAAAAATAGTACATTAAGACGTTATTTAAGATAAGAAATGACTTGCTCTGAAAATGCTTGATATAATTAGTAATCCATTTTTAAAACTCCTTTTAAAGTCCTCAAATATTTTTAAAACCCCACATATTGCTTTCTTTAGGACTACAGTGTACTCTGTCTTCAGTTACATTGAAAATGTGCTACAACTCAAGCACAGGAATTGAAGGCAAGTACTATGCCAAAAGGCAGATAAAAGATACAAAATATTTGAAAAATATTTAAAACTTAGACTATATAGGACTTTATTCATTTTATTTGGGATTTTCAAATTTCCTTTCCACTAATGCTTCTAAATACTCTGTACTGTGAACATGTACAAATTTCTACTAGCATTCTGAATATCAAATTACAAATGAAGCTTAATGCTTCCATACACCAGATTTAGATCCTGACAGTGGGACATTTTGTGATGTGCCTCAAATTACAAGATGACTCTGGTGAATCTGGCAACCAAACCCAAATTTCCTAATTCTCACACCAGACAGTCAAACTGCTGAACATAGGTGTCTCCTGAAATCAGTGGTATACATTTAAAACTTTCAGTTTTTAAAGACACAAACGGCAGCCCATACATGGTTCCAGCACTTGCCCTGTGCTGTTCTGGCTTAGGGAAGAATCTAAAGCAGGTGCCTTGGCTAGCAGACATCGAAGGTCCCTGCTCTCTGGGACCTCTCACTCCTGCACACCGGCTTACTGCACAGCGAAATGCCTGTGCCCGTGACCCAGCCTCTGCAGAGGACTCTGCCCTCTCTACGTCCACACAACTGTCTCCTGCCTGACCCTGTGATTTTCCACAATTTGCAGCGAAAAAAAAAGAAATTTAGGTTATTCTGACAACATGCTTAATAACACCCTTGCCTTCTTCCAAAATGATAGCTATTAAATATAACGTTTTCATTTGAAAGTGTGTCTTATATTCTATTTTTTCTAATACAAAGTAATCAATTTTTCTAAGCACCTGAAAATATAACCCTCTGAGGAGACAGAGTTTGAGTTTGTGACAAAAGAGAAAATAATTCAATTTTATTTGCCTTAATTCTTAAATATATACATTGACTAATAAAACTATGAATAAATATATGTTCATGATTATTTATATATATATATTTTTTAAACTATGCAAAAGAGTGTTTTATTTTAACACAATGCATTGATTGTGACTCAGGACAGCCTTTGCAATGGTAGGTGTGAAACAGCTGGGTAGTAAAAACGTGAACATTTGCTTTGGGTAAAAGCAAAGGAAGTGAGTTAGGAGTTCTTGTTTCATGTGTTTTGTGTCTGCTTGTTTGGTTTAGGTTGTTTTGGTTGTATGTTATTTATTCTCAAGACATGCAAGTTAAAAAAAAAAAAGGGGTCGGGGAGTCATCATGCCCACAGTTCCTAGATGAGGCTACAAGAGCCGAAAGGTTAGGGATGCAGGTGCTCACGGACAGCTGCACTATGGGCATGGGGGTTTGTGACTCCGTAATAGTTTCTGTTAGAAGTATTTTCCCTCAGATTTTTAAATGCCTCAATTTTATTACCCCTTTGATGCACAAGGCTTATAAATCAAAAATTGCCCTCTGCTCTTGTTAACAAATGAAATTATATTAAATTCTGGATTGTGTGATTTTTAAAACATTTATGTCTATTTTAAATTTTTGAAAAATGAGCCATTTTTTCTTCACTGTAAGATATTTGTACTGCACATAATGTCTTGTTTTAAAGTTTCCTAACATGAGGGTTTACATATTCCAGGTTTAATATTGCTTTGTATACAAAAGAAGAGCTAAAGTATGTTTGACTTTAGACATTGAGTCTGTGTAATCCAAGGTAATAACAGAACTCAGAGTGGATATGTTTGTTGATTCA